ATTGTTTTTATGCAGTTCTATTTATGTCTGTGTGTTTGCTAATATGTCTCAGTTCTTTTATCTTTAAAATAAAATTTAAAAAAACTTTTTTAAAAACCGCACCAAAAAGAACTTACTTGGTCCTTTAGATTAAATAACAAAATCAAAAAATAATTTGAACATTTTAATCATCTGCTATTTCAAAAAAATATTAATTCTCCACCTTTCAACCTTATAAAATCAGAATTTATAACACCATATTATATAGGTGTCCCTTTTAACAGGGAATACCTCTGAACCAGACATGTCTTCAAGAGAATCTGGGCTAAATTTTCCCAAGGGCCTGGGTATATTCCTATCTTTTTCCCAAATTTTTAAAGCGAAATCTCAAATGGAATATCAATATATGGAAAGAGTAGCTCTGCATAACTCTTAAGACTCCTGTAAACATCAGTGATTTGAGCGGTTAGCTCTGCAGGCACTGTGAAAGGTGAACACAATAGATGTTGGCACACAGTTCAGTCCTTCTGCTTTATGTTTAAAATCATCTTGGTTTACTTAGCTTTAATTTCCTCTTCTATAAAACGAAGATACTACTACTTGTCTTACAGTGCTGCTTTGAGGATTTAAAAGAAATGTATACAAAATCTACAACACACACTTTGGCATAAGAAGGTGTTCAATAAATGACAAATATTCTGATTAACTTTTCATGAATTTGCTAAGTCATGTGTCTTAACTGAACAACCCAGGGAGTAAGGATATCAAAAGCCCAAACTTGTCTTTAAAGCATTCTATATAAATGCATGTATTTGCAATTACATTGCTCACAGGCAATGAACAGAAATAAGGAATGTCTTAATAAAAATATTGGTTTCAAGTTTAAGTAAGAATCACTAGGGGACCGGGTATACAGCTCAGCAGCACAGCACTTGCCTGGCAAGTGTGAGGTCCTGAGTTCAATTCCTGCGCACAAAAATATAATCACTAGGGTTCAAACTAATATATATATTAGAAGAAGCCTTGCTGTAAAATAGATTACATTAGCTCTGCTTCCTAAAGAAAAATTACAATGGTCAGTTTACTATAGACATAGTAAGCAATCTATACACAGCAGGGCAGAGGCTACTTCATTCTAAGTGCCAACAGCAGGACTATGCAATCTTCTCCAAGCAAAGATGCAGAGACTGAAAAAAAAGGAGGTGAGAAGAAGGAAATAAAAAAATGTTCCACTAGCAACTGACCTAGAATTAAGCAGTATATCAATACCATAAGACTATTCATATATTTGATTACAAATAGTGTTATGTTCCAGCTTTAACTTTTTTAAGTTTTCAGCATTTGATTATGCCTTGTGTGTTTCAGGGAAGTAGACTTTGGGAGCAGAGAATCAGGTGAGATCAGAACTGAAAGAACCTTAGAACTTTGTCAACCTCACTCATTTTGTTGATGTGAAAATTAAAGCCCAGAGACAAACTGAGGTGTAATTGTGTAATACAAGAACAAGCAATCAGGAATTGAAATACTTCTGAACTGTTAATTTCCCCAATTTAATTTTTATAGAAAATTGCTCAGAATTAGGCCTCAAATGATGAACCACAAAAGACTTTACATTTAACATGTATTGTTAGCCAGGCATGGTGGCGCAGGCCTGTAATCCCAGCACTTGGGAGGCTGAGGCAGGAGGATCGTTGCAAGTTCGAGACCAGCCTGGGCTACAAAGTGAGCTCAAGGTCAGCCTGAACGGCATAGCAAGACCCTGTCTCAAAAAGACAAAGAAAAAAAAAATGTATTGTTAAATGCAACAGTCTACTGAATAGCTAGGCCACAAATTATCGGGCTAGTATCAGGGAACAAATTCAAGAAAGCAAATCTGAAAAAGGCAAATTGAATATTATTAATATCTTCATATAAATACATCATGATATGTGTGTCATTACTAGCAAATCCATAAAGACTAAAATGTAATTAATTCTGTTTTAGGATTTCAAGTGACTCATAAGATTTGTAATGGCTAACAGAGATTTTTAAGGTAGCTGGCAGTCTTTGCCTATAACACAGGTTTAGTTTTCTGAGTGACTACAAAAGGAAACCATAACATCAATCCAGAATATCCCTTTGTGTATTCTCAGAACATCTAGAGTTCTTACTATCTACTTGATTGGTTCTTAACCTTTTTTCAGATTAGAAAACCTAGGAGACAGATAATTACTATAGTCTCCCGAGGGAAATGCATACAATAACACACAAAATTTTGCATACAATTTCAATGAGTTTAATAAGTACACACAAAATATCAAGAATCAGCTGTTTTAGCACTTATCTAGTATGTGCTACTTTATCTTGCTATTTACCTCCCACTGCACATGCCCTGGCTCCATTAGATCCAAAGCTGAGAAAAAAATTGTAACTCTTGTGTATCTGTAACATGAGCAAATTGTTTAGCTCATAGTAGAGACGTAAATACATGGCAATTATTAACTATTAATAGAAGTCCATTTGTTCATTTTGTGCTCTAAAGCTAGTGCTGACTAAGAAATGAGGGTTGGAAGGTAAAAGAACCCCTTCTTCCAGGAATTTACACACTAATTATAAATATGTAAACCTGAGGTTAAAATGGAGGAGAAAACAGATGTGGAAAGGGATATAGCAAAGAAACTGGCGGGAAAACAAACTCTTGGATTCCTAGCTTTTAGCAGGGATGGTAGGTTAGAAGATTCAGAAAACAGAAAGCATCATATAAAGCAATTATACTTGAACTAATTCAACAACAAAATGAGTTACAAGTTAACTAGCAGAGGAGTAATAACATACTGAAGAAAAAAAAAGCAGCGGCAGACTGGCCCAGCGGAGCACCCATTAATTATTGCCCTATTTTTTCACTCCTTTAGTTACCTAAGCCTAGTCTCCAAAATAGCTCTGTAAATATGCAGTTACATACTTGTAAAATACCAACATGAATATGTCACAAAAAAAATATTTGACCATTCAATCAACTTCTCACAAGTGAGATTTACCATAACCCACAATGGTAAATTGTTCAACTGTTCAAAAGCAGAAGTCAAAATTACCATGATAAATAAATTATTTTTGCACATTTGTCCTTATATACTACAACAAAGAAACTTTGCGCCTCAAAAAGGAGAAAAATGTTACTCAAGTTTTAGTTCAAGTTATTTAGGTCAAGTCAGACAGGTCTGACTCCATGTCATTCTCCTTTTCCATACTGCGAGGTTAAGGTCTGCATTCCACACAAAGGAACCTAAAGTAAGCACAGCCAGATGGTATGAATCAAGTTAAACCTTTTCACTTCGTCTGGCAGACTGGAGGTAATTTCATTTTTGTTAGGTATTAAAATTGATAACAGTGCCATTAACTCTGATTATAGACAGGCACACTTTTCAATGACAGAAAATAACCAGTTATCTTGTTACTGTAAATCAAATACAGACTTAGATACAACAAAAATACTCTGCACTACCAGAGAACGCTTTCAAAACTATCACCTCAAATCTTTCTAAAAATCTGGATGAGATGACAATTTAAAAACTATTTTCTCATACTTAACGGTATGTTCAAAACTTTACAATATGTCAGGCACTTCTGTTTCAATATTACTGTATCTTTACAATAGCTTTTTTAAGGTTGGCAGATCAGTTATTATCCTTTACAGATGAGTCCACTTTGCATGACAGGCTATACGACTTGCTTAAGTCAAGAGATTTCTTAAAAGGAACTGGAGGCCGGGCGAGTGGCACACGCCTGTAATTCCAGCACTTGGGAGGCTGAGGCAGGAGGATAGCTGTGATTTTGAGGCCAGCCTGGGCTACAAAGTGACCTCAAGACCAGCCTGAACTGCATAGCGGAACCCTGTCTCAAAAAGACAAAAAAAAAAAGGAACTGGAATTTAAAAATGATCTTATCATAGTCCAATGCCCTTTATGTAGTACAACCACACTTCTTTTACTATGCTTTAAACTACAGTGATAAATTAGCCTATTCAGTCATATATTCTGTCCATGAAATGACCTATCTGTACCCCTCCTCAAATGTTCACATTTTATTATTGGTTTATCTTGGCCCATGCAGCACATAATATAATATTAGCGATATTCACAGCGTGACTTACATAATTTAATCCTTTCATCAAAAAAACCTTCCTATATTTCAGGCTTACAAACTAATGAAGCCACAACAGCTGTAACATGAGCTATGAAACTATTATTACCCGCATTTCTTCAATTTGCTCCGTTCAAATGAAAGGCAAGATCCTCTATTTTCTCTAATGCCAACCTCTGGAAAGGGGAATTTCAGCAACATGGAGATCCTATAATGACAACTCAGTTGCGGAAAAACAATTTCATCCTTCTCCAGGGCTTCACACAGTTTCTTATTTCTTAAGAGAGGACAACGGTATAACTGATGATTTTCATAACTTCAAAGAACTATATGTTTCTTCAAGTGTTAAATCAATAAGCAAGCAAGCAATCATCTTAGTTTGGAAGACTCATAATAAGCATTTCACATTACTAGGTCACCTTCAACTAGAAAAAGGAAGTGCAATTAGCCAAAAGCTACCTATACTAGTACTGCATTCAAAAACCTACAATTCCACCCCAAACCTTTGCCAAACTTCTGCCACCCTGCCTCTGTTCGCGCACCATTCCACATCGATTTCCAAAGAGAGCAATTCACTGAAAGGACCGGGGGCAGCCGTCTTCAAGGAGGCACGGTTCCTGCTCAATAATCTCAAATCAGTTTGGCGACTCCCCTATCCCTTCCCAAAGCAGATCCACTTTCCCTGACTCACACGGCGGTGGCTACCATAAAAACAAAGCAAACACGTAAATAAACTACAAAGGCAAAAACCAAGGGGCCGGAGCCTACCGATCCCCGCAAGCGCCCTCGCTCCCGCACAACTGATCAACAAAAATTAGCACCAAGCGCCACCCAGAGGCCCAGCGCCCGGCTCCCCCGCCCGCCGAGCCCGAGCAGCACCTCCGCGAGACCGGAAAGGATACTCTCCATATTCGACATGTTTGCAAGATTTTTTTCGAGTGGCAATACCTAGAGCAGCGGTACGACTCCACCGGCTGGATGCGAGGACGCCGGGAGAACGAAAGCAGCCCGCTCCGGCAGCTCAGAGTGCAGCTCCCCACTTCCTGTTTCTGCCGCCCGCGGGCGGGAGGCGGAGCGCTGCGCACCCGAGGTGGGGGCGGAGGCAGCGTCAAAATGGCCGCCGCGAAGTACCGCCGCTAGGACGCGCTGTAGCCGCTGGGGGGCGCAGCGGGGCTCGAGGGCAACAGGTTAAGACCCTCCCCGGGGGGTCCCTCACGTGCCGTTAATCGAGCGCGGAGCCTAACCTCTGCCTCAACGCTCCCGTTCTTTCCTTTCCTCAGCTTTCTAGTTCTGTCTTTCGGCATATTCCGACCGCTCCCAAAGCGTTCTCCCCACCGCATCCCTCAGATTTCGTAGCCTGTGGCCCTTCATCTCTTCAGAGGTTAAGTGCTAACGGACGAAGGAAAAAGGTATAGGGTTTTTAAAGCACATTTTTGAAACTATAACTATAAAATAAGGGCTTAGAGGCTTAGCGCGGACGGTGACTTGAAATTGTGAGGGTCGCTCGAAGTTTCAAAATGGGTCGTAATCCTTAGTCGTACGTTGAAACGGACAAAAAGGAAAGCGAGTCTTAAGAGTTAACGGTGATTAAGAAGTACGTATTCATACTTCTAGTTATATATATTTTTACCGTAGACGATGTAAAATATGAAAATTACTACGAAATCTCTCTAAATTAATGAGTGGGAGGTTAGTCGAAATCGTAGATAATGGTTGGCGTTTTATACGTGCCGTTAAAATGCCCGAAGACATTTTGTTAGACGTAGCTCTCTGGATTGGGGAAGGAAAAGATCTTCGGCATAGCGTCTGTGTTTTTCGGTTTACATCTCTTCGAAATTTCGGAGAAATAAGATAGTGGTTTGGCAAAAAATTAGTGTAAGTCTTTTACAGCAAAATTTATGAAGTTTCGGTTTAAATTTTTTCTCATCTTTAAAGTTTCAATATGTGAGAGAAATATATAATTGGATAACTTTCATTTTATCGTTAGGCTTGTTTTTCTTTCGAGAAAAACGGTTCTGGCCGGGCACAGTGGCTCATGCCTGTAATTCCCAGCACTAAAGACGTTGAGGTAGGAAGATCGCGGTGAGTTCGAGCCGAACCTTGGCTGCATAGTGAGTTCAAGGCCAGCCTCAACTACAAAGCAAGACCCCTTGTTTCAAAAAAAGAGTTCGAAAGCTAGTTATTTATGCTCTCGCATTAATGATGATTGGTGATAGACTTCAGTTACCTAATTACGAGCATTTAATGTTCTCAAAAAAAACAAAACTTTCTGAGTACAGGTTCTGGCAAAATACAGTCTGGGAATCACTTTCGTGGGTGAAGCTGTATAAAGATTATTTCTATTTCTTAATTTCATGTTTGAAAATCACGACCTACTTTATAGAAACGTAAAATTTACCAGATTTCATCAGTTTTCATATTAGAAAAACAATTGTATTTCACTGTTGGAAAACTTTTTTTTTAGTCTTTTTGGGATAGGGTCTCCCTGTGCAGTTCAGGCTGGCCTTGAGCTCACTTTGTAGCCCAGGCTGGCCTTGAACTCACAGCAATCCTCCTGCCTCAGCCTCCCAAGTGCTGGGATTACAGGGTGCACAACCATCGCTCACAGGATGTTACCTGCCAGGCATGGTGGTGCATGCCTGTAATCCCACCACTTGGGAGGCTGAGGTAGGAGGATCGCTAGGAGTTCCAGGCCAGCTTGGGCTACAAAGTATTCCCTAGACTTTAATATTTTTACCACAGCTCTTTCTACACTCAACATATATACACATATATATGTATGTGTATGTTAAATTATTATTAGAGTTATATGTATGTAACCTCTATTAATAAGTCTATTTAAAATATTTTGCAAATTTCAGAATTTCTTAAGAGGTATATTCTTATGATACAATCAGTTATTTTAGTAAAATTGAAATTTGAAGGTATTTGTTCAATTAGACTATTTGCTATTTATGTCTGTCTTATGTAAAAACCATTACACAAGCTGTGCTAACCACTTAGAAGTTTAATGTATTTTATTTTCACAAGTTTCTGAACTAATTTTACTCCAAACTTTACCCTTATACTTTTATTGAATATCTGATTTTTAAAAGCAGATTTAGAAATTTTTTAAACCTAGGTACAGTAGTAGAATCATTTAAAGTAAATGTATATTCTGTTATAACTGCTTATGTTGAAAACAAGAAATTGATATCTCTTATGAAACTTTTTATGAAGAACATATAGAAAGAAGACAATATACAATTTAGTTGTTATTAAATACTCAATTCCTATTTATAAAATAGTATTTGTAAAATATGTGTGCAATATAAGCATAAGTAATACTGAAAATACACACTTGTGACCTATCACTTGATTTAAGAGAAATTACCATTTTCTATAATTTGCCTTGTGTACACTTTTCTAACCACATTTGTTTACTACCTTCTTTCTTCTGCAGTAGCTTGTCTTGAATTTATATATAATCTTCCTGTTTTTTATAGTTTTTTTATAGCTTTGTGATATTTTAATGTATAAACAATATATTCTTTAAGGGGGTACATTTTGAAGTTTTTTGTATAAATGATAAATACTTTTGCTCTTCTGTCTTGCTTTCCTTTATTATCACACTGTTATGTCCCTCAGTCGTGTTATAGCCTATAGCTATGATTCATTCGTTTTCAGTGATCTAGACTAGAATATTTCACTATATAAATGCATCATAATTTATCTGTTCTGCTGATGGTAGATATTTGGGGTTTTTTTCAGGAAAATGTAGCCTCTAATAATGTATTGGCATTAATTTAACACATTCTTTAATTTAACACTTAGGATCAATAACTTACTTTAGTTTCCTAAACATGTTAGAATGAAATCTGAATATGCTCATTTTATCATATTAATAATGAAAAGGTAGGGCTGGGGATTTAGCTCAGTGGCAAAGTGCCTGCCTGGCAAGCGCAAGGTCATGAGTTCGGTTCCCGGTACCAGAGAAAAACCAAAAAAAGACCAAAAAAAAACCAAAAAAAATAATGAAAAGGTAACTTTTAAAAAGCCAAATGTTATCTTTAAAATATAATTTTAGGGGCCGGTGATACAGCTCAGTGACACAGTGCCTGCCGGACAAGCGCAAGGTCCTCAGTTTGATTCCCATTACCAAAAACATATATATAATTTTAGTCTCTAACCTTAGGAACAATTTTTCATTCATTGTTTATTATATTTATTGATATTTCTTATTGTTTTAGGTGATCTTGGATCTTGGTCTGTTTTCTTCTTTATACGAGGGTTAGCATTACCACTTATCCTGACTCAGGTAAATAGGCAGTTTCTCTTCTCTCTTTCGCCTTTAAATTCTGTGGGAGCCTAGTTAATTGTAAACATGAAAATTTAAAACATCAGTTAAATGTTGATAAACTCAGATATGGTAAATCTCACCTATGTATACTTGGAAGAATGTATTTTAAAAATACATAAAATAAATATATAAAATAAAAATACCCACATCTGTGAATTTTAACTGGGATAATTGATGTTGAACCAGTATAGTGTCTTCACTGAGCAGCTACTGAGTATGTTAAAATTTGACATGAGCAAAGATAATGTGATAAATTATAATAAAATTCCCAGGAAATTGAATTGTTTTCATGATTAGTCATGGTTATTTCTGCAATCCAATGTATTTTTAAAAATACTCCTTTTTAAGTTAGAAGCATGTATAAAATAATAGTTAGGAATCTAAACTACTTTAACATCTGATTGAAGTGTTTTATGTGAAAAATCTTTTAGCAAATGATTTTGAGATGATTAGAAAATGTAATGTTTATGACAATTAAACATCCAGTAAAGTGAAAAGGCATGCACTGAAAATGAGAATGGTATAGTATTACATAGTATTTATCAGATTTTAGTATCCTTAAAAATACAGATGGATGGGCTTCATTTCTATAGATTCTGATATAATAAATTTGGCAGGGGACTCCAGAGTCTATATTTCACTTTTATTTGCATAATGAAAATGGATATTCTAATGTAATCATATAAATTCTTTATTAAGGCATGAAATATCTTAATTTTATTGAATTTAATAGTTTTTAAAAATCTTTAATATACATTATTTAATTTGATACTTGATCTTCTCAGATAACCTGTTATGGCATTATCCTCTTTTTATCAATTAAAATAAAGAGCTACAACAAAGCTCAGAGAGACTGATTTGCCTAAACAAGTTTTGAACAAATGTAATTGGTATTCAACTCAAGTGTCCTTGGTTTCATATCCTGTACTTTTGAATCTGTATAGCAGGTTGGCAAGGAGGAATCATAAGACTGCTACTGTTGTTTCCTTTTTTTATACATGAGTTGCCCATTCAGTATAAGAGTACAATGAGGAGTTATTCAGCTGGTTGACACTCTTGGTGGTTCCTGTATGAAGACATAGACTCAGTTTCCTAAAAATTCTGGAGAAGTATGAATTGAAATCTTTGCTAGTTATATAACAGGGAAACGTTTTTTCCCCTGAGAAGCAAAGAACACCTTGCTAGTCTCACTGTTCTGTTGTTTCACATTTAATTTGAAAGTTATACTGACAGGTGACAGATGAAAGAGGTTAAACCTACAAGAAGGGTAAAACTTATTGGTTGAGGGAAATAGAAGACTGGATGGAAAATAGTAATTTAAAAACAGGAGGAGTAGAGTTGAGTGGTACTCTCAAAAATGACCTGAAAAATTATTCAATTTAGTTATTCAATTATTTATAGAAAAGGGATAAACATAAAGACAAGATGGTAGAATTCAAGCAAGTAGAAAACAATGAAAAACTAATTTTGACTGGTTAGGAAAAACACCAGAGGTGATTGAACTGTACAGTGAATGTTCAAATAAAAAATTATAACAGTAAAAGGCACATTGCCATTATTCTCCCTCAACATACTTAAAGTACTCCCCACTTTGAACATACACATACCATCATTGTGGGCAATGTGTCTTATACTGTAGTGAGTGTTTTTAAGTGCAAATATTCATTGTATTTTCAATCAACTATATTAACATATTTATCATTTCTGTAAGAGTTGTTTCCCATCTTATTTAAATAATAAATGATGGTATTTTATTATTGCATAATTACTAGAAAGAACATTTCTCTAGACACTCTGCTTTTAACAGAGTACACAAGACTTTAAAATTTCCTTTTTAGGAAACATTTTCAATACTATAATAGTCAAAGTAAAATTATATTTTGTTATTATTAGCTGAGTTAATTGATTCTTCAAGAATGATATGGTAATAAAGAATAAAACATTTGCTATTGCAAGAGATACTTTCCACTTTGGAATGATTCCTAATTATATCTGAAGTTGTATGACTCAGAAAAATTTTAATATATACATAAATGCTCAGAGAAACTCATTTTTAAATAAACCCTTTATCTTTTTAACATCTAGGGGTTCCTTGAAGAAAATTTCTTAAGGGGGAAAATAAAAAAGTAAAAGACTTTTATCAAAGAGGCAGATGAAGGCAAGGTTAAGAAAGACAACTCTCTTAAAAGACTACTATTCTGTATTATTATATACTATTATACTATCCATTAGCCCTATACATTTAATGACAAATATTGTGTTCATATACTGTTACTTTCTTAGCACCTGACTGCTCTTCTTCATAGCTTAAACATTTGAGGAGTCTCAAGTCAAAATTCTGTCAAAGTCATGCCCATGGTTAGTCTAGAGTCCAGCATACTCAGTAAAGTTTTACAGTCCTTTGTGTTGGATTGCACACATTCTGTCATCTTAAATACTATTTTTCTATAGTATAGTCCATACATCTTACTTTACAGTGGGTTTCTCAAAAGTGCTATAGGCAGTTTGGGTTGTATAATTTTTTGTTTTAGGTGTCTTTCCTGTGTAGTGTAGTATGTTTGACAACACCCTTGTCTTTACCCCCACAATAAGCACTTTTTGCTTTAAGTTGTGACAACCAACTATGTGTGTAAAAATTCCCAGATATCCTTCAGAGGAAAACTAGTTATCTTGCTCTAACATTTCCCTTATATTAAAACAACAAGATAAACAATAACAATGGAAATCTGTTTCAGCCTACTCTTGTTCAGGCATAACCTCAGAAAGGGTAAAGCAACCATAATCACGAGATTTTCAGCCACTTACTAAGGTTGGTAAAGTTAGAATGCAGAAAAGGGATTCTGAAGTCACTGCATTTTTTTTTTTTTTGTACGTAGTGTTAAGAACAGAACATTTTGAATCATTCCGAGCTAAGTTTGAATTTCTGCTTCCTAGACTCAATAGCTGATCATCATAGAACTTTAAACTCAATGGAATTCCTTCCCCACAAATTGACTGAAGTAGGTGTCACATATGTTAAAAAGAAACCCTTTTGGTGATCTGGCCCCTCATAAGGCAAGGGTGAGGCACTTTGTAGTACATGTTGAGAGGATCCCAGTCCTATTAAGGAGGTAGGGGCCCTTTGTGTTGGCCATGTGGCAGGCCATTTTTCTAATGGAAGTACAGACACATCTGTGCCAGTATCTTCTAGTAAGCCTTCGAAACATTTTTCATTAGTCTTTACAAAACTCATGGGCCTGTTTTTAGTCATTTCCTGTGTAAAATAAATTTCTCTCTATGTAGTCTTACTCTGAGGGTCTTGCTCCCTCAGGAGCTCTCTATATTTAGCAAAAGAAGTTTTATCTATAGGTTACAAAATCAATTGTGCCACATACTGTCCTTGTTCAATGACCCAGAGATCCATCTCATATGCAAAAACTTCTATCTCATCTCGACAATCACCATCAGTCACACTAGGCACAATAGTTATTTCTTTTAAATTTAGATCAGCTTTTCCCAGTAAAAAACCAACCGTTCTCTCAGGAGGAGGACCCCAATCTCCTGTGGGAATTGGGGTAGTTTTGTCACCTCTGATAAGAGTGACTGTACAAGCTGCAGGCAGATCTAATCCTGCACTTTGTAATTTAACAGGCATATGAATAAAAACTCATTATTAACATTTCACTGAGTTCCAACTAGGAATCAAACAGGGGTGTTAGTGATTTCCCCTTTTGTGGCTTCTTGTCCCTTTAAAACCTGTAAGTTTCTGGATAGAATCACATGGGATGTTCTTTTGAAAGTTTCCTGTTCCTGCAGAGGCCATCCCTTTAAAAGCTCTGCTTTGGCTGTAGATGCCTCTGCTGGGAGCTCTTTTGTTTCCTCAGTGTCCTCTGTATCAGAGACTATTGACTGTGAGCTCTGCAATGGACTTAAAACTGAAGAATCTGGGTTCCAAGTGGAGAACTGTCTCAGGGGAACTGTCTTTTCCTCTACTGTGTGCCTTTTTAAGATTTTTTCCAACTCTTAATATTTTTGTTAGGTGTTTTGTTGGCACATGAGCCCCTGAGCCCTTAAACAAACCTTGGAACAGCTGTGTGTCTCATTGCTCTTTGGTTGAAAATTTGGGGCCCATTTTACTCCTAGATAAAATGGCTTTTCTCAGTAGGAAGACTTACCCCTATTCCTGTGGAATATTTCTCTTACCTCTCTTCTCCAGGCATTCCTGGGCAAAGTATTCATCCTATGAAATCCTTCTCCATCTCCCACACTTTCCACTCTAGGTAGACTTACTCGCTGAGATAAAGAATTCCCAATTGAAGGATTATGAGTCCCTGTTTGGGCGCAAAATATCGGATGAAAAACCCTCAATTATTGCAGTCTGATCAGGCCTGCAATCTCCCAAACGAGTGGATGGTGAAGGCTTAAATAAATGAGACAACTGAAATGATTTCAGGGCTCCAGGAGGCTCTAACATTCTTATGCCATTTGATATTCTCTGGGTTTAGACAAAGACTTTTCTGGGCATCCCATATTTATTTGGTTTACAAACAAAGAAGGGGGATACTCAAGAAAATGCAGGAAACTGAACAGGACCTTGGGAGAATTTTCCCAAGTAATAAATTATGTTGATCAGGAGAACTACCTTATCTTTAGGTTGGTATTTATTGTAGGTGTGTGGAGCCTGCAGTTGTAGTTCCCTTGTAGTTAAATGGGGATTGGAGCCAGACATCTTCAACTGTGGCCTTATCTTGTCCTTTGAGGTGTCACAGCTTTACAGGCCAATACAGGCCTCAGGGTGACCAGTGACTCTTAGAGGTTTACTTACTATGACTCCACTGTCCATCTTCAGACAAGGTGCATAAACTTCAGACAACTCACAAGTAAACGCAGAAAACCAATTGGTTAATATTAAATCCCACTCAGAGCCACTTTGTAGTGGTCTGCAACAGTAAAGGAATTGTGAAACTCAATAGACTAATTGACTAAACCATTGACGTCTCAATAAATAGCCTAATAGTGATTTACTTACAAAATTTTACCTAAGACATTTCTAAATTGAAATATTAAAGTATGTCTCTGCTTAACATTTTTAGATATTAAATGTCTTTAATTACTATATATCAGTGAATAAAAGTTATAGTCAGGTAATCAAGCATGCTTAGACATACACACACACACACACACGTGTGTGTGTGTGTGTGTGTGTGTGTGTGTTTTCTATAATCATGAACTTCCTTTTTCTTACTACAATATATCTATGAACCATCATTTTATATAGTCCTCAGTTTCCTTGAAAGTGAATTAACTTTATTTTCCTCTAATACAAAGATTAGAAGCGATAATCCAATTAATAAAAGATTTAGAGGATTTCATTAAGGCAATTCGATTTTAAACTTTCAAAGCTTGTATTTTGAAATTGTTGCTTTTAAGAATTCCTTCATCCAACTGTTTTCTCTTCTAAGTATGTAAAGATAGGGGGGAAACATGAAGACCTAAATATTTATAGCCAAAGCAAAAGCAAAGTTAAAGAAAATCTGCTAGCGAAAGTAAAAGCCACTTGTTTCAGCCAAATTGTCATCTGAAACTTAAGTTTGTGTTTATGTAGTAAATTATTGAAGAAATGGTGGAAGGAAAAGTGTGTGTGTGTGTGTGTATGTGTGTACACACATGCATGAATATGGCAGGGGATATAGTATGGGTGAGATGCAGTAAAGGCATGAGACAAGGCAGTATTTTTAAGAAAGGAGGAAATTGATTTTTGGTCTGGAAAGGGAGAAAAGATAGTATTATTCCACTAGAGAAAATTTAATAGTAAAGCAGAATGGAAAATAGTAATGAGATTACCCTGCTGGTGTATGTAGAAGCCATATCACTATGGACTACCTTAATTACTATGGACTATGGACTACCTTAAATTATGTGAAGACAAGTTGCCAGGGAAATGGTTTTAAATGCTGAGGGATCAGGGAATGAGTCTGAAAGCATGGGAAGTCTGTGGATTGCATGAGTGAGGGTATACAGGCTAAGTTATTTCAGCACCGAGTTACTCTTGGACAGCAGCAGCTGAGCAGCCTTGGGCAACTGTTATAGGTGCTTTCTCTCTGCACTGCTCTTTTTCCTTTCTTCTTTAATTCTTTCCTTATTTCTTTTTCTTTCTTTGTTCCTTATCTTCTTTTTTAAAAAACACACTATGCATTTCTTCCTAACTCTTTTTAACCACCACATTCTCTAAAACCTCACACTAATGTCATCCCCTCCAGTTGTTCCTTAATAGAAGAGGACAGAAGGGATTTGAAAACGGCAGTTGAAGTGAGTTCTAAAGGGCTGGAAGAGTAGTGGAGAAGGGAATGTGGGGAGGGGCAGCAAGAGCCACAGTCAGATTTTTTAGGTTTTTTTTTAATTTTATTTTTCTTAGGGCATAGTTTTCTGTCTCTTTGTGAGTTATTTGGAAGGTACATATGGTATATACTATAATTCTCAAGTCCTTATCAGTGGCCAAAGAGCCCTTAATTCCTTGAGTGTTTAAAGGTAGTTCCACAAGAGGATGACCTGGGTAGTACTTACGAGATTGCTGTGGGCACTATTAGGGTCATATGAGCTGAACAATATCCGGTGAAGAGAGGATGGTACTTTGATTCATTTAGGTGGCTTTAACTGCCTATTTCCCAGGAAGCCCTCTGCACTTTAGAATCTTCTCAGTGATGTCTTCAAATCAGTCATTCCCTCCAAAAGAAACCAGAGTTCTCTTTGCCCGGTGTGCCTCTCTGAGGTTGGTAGCAATTTCCAGAGGCAGCAACTCTACATGAGACTGATCAGAAACAAAACTACTGTAGCTAGTGTTGAATTTGCATAAGTATCAGCCTCTACCAGACACTGAAAGGAGCAGCGGAAGAGTATGAAGGTTTCTGTGCTACTGTTAGATCATACTTTCAGTGTAAGGGGTCAGCAATAAACCTGAAAGGAGTTGGAGGATGATTTATCTACAGTGCTGTACACTTTCAACATGCAAACAAAGACAACAGAAGACAGCCACATAAATACAAATATTTTTTAAAAATCACAAGAAGTATATACAGTATATGTGGCTTAGGGAATATTAAATATGAAGTATTAAGAGTTTTCTAGAATTAGGGGAAGAGATTTACCTTAGCAGAAGGCATTCCTTATAAGTTTCTCAATACCAAGCTTTTAAATCCAGAACTGATTCTTTCTGGGTCCTGTATGTTCTTTTATTTAAGTGTTTAGTTGCCTGGCATTTTTACCTTTATTCCAGTGCAGCTTTCACCTAGACCTATCAATGCAAAGGCCATCTTTTGGCATAATTCCACTCATGTATTATATAAGAATTTTGAGAAGTTATTTCTGTACACACCAGTGACAGAAAATTGGGAATTTGTGTAAATTCTCAGCAAGAAAATTTAAAATGGAAGATGAAGATAAACATAGTACTAAAAAACAAAGAGAATAGAAGAACATGATATTATAAAACACTAAAATACAAAGTATATGCCTGCTTTATTGTATGTCTGCATACAAACTAAAACCTTTAACACTCCCATTATTTTTTGGTATAGAAGAAAATAATGTCCTCCTTCCCCTCTGAGCAAGAGTCCCAAGCTTAATTATAGTAAGCCTAATTACATCTCTGGGCACTATGCAATTTCTACTAGTCAAAGTGTGTACATTAGCTTCATTTTAAATAAAATATCATTGAATTCAAAAATAAAGAATATTATTAAACAATGAACAGCTTTCTCATAAATTTCATAATTATTTGAGGTACTTTTGTGGGTGACTAAAATTGTGGTACTTTCCTATCCCTACCTGGCTGAGTCACAGGTATCCTAATCAGTATTTTATTAATTATTCAGATTTAAATGTATCAACTACGGTCAGAGTTTTCTCTTGGGTTAAAGTAATACTACATTCTTTATTTTTGACAAGCAAAACCCCTATAAGACACTTCTGTGAGATCATTAACACGTTTTAAAGAACTTTTTTCACTGCATTATACTATTAATATTGGCTAGGGTATTGTATTTTTGATTCTGGCATGAAGACATTAAAGTAATTATATGTTTTTCCTGATATAAGAAAGAATATTGTTTTCTGAAAGGTATATCTGTATTTGACATAGTGATTGGCTGTGAGCAAACTACCGTTAGCTAAATACTGCACTGATGTTTTCATTATTTCTCACTCGCATTAATATTCTCTATGCAAAAAAATTAATGTCAAAATATCCAATATATCTTTCTAGGAGTCAAATGCCATTTATGTTTCTTTGGACTGGTGAAATGTAATACATTGTATGATCAAAATCTGTGTATTCATTGATACATAGGTATGTGTAGATATGTATCTTCAAGGTTTCTAAAGTATAAGAGTTTAATTCTTTATACAATCATTTATTCCACATACAGGAGCTCATTAGACTTGTTTTTTTTTTTCATACCAGGAATCCAACTCAGGACCTTGCACTTGCCAGGTAGGTGCTTATGCCACTGAGCTATATCCCCGGCCCCCAAAATTCTGTTGTACAAACACAATACAACCTTTAGAAAGATTCTCATATTAACATTTAATGGAGAAAGCAATATTAGACTTTTAAATTTTTTAAAATCCTATGGCTTAAAAACTTCACTTTGATTAGAATTTTTAATATTCAATGTAAAGTTTTAAACTAAACAGAAATAGCTAAATTATGAGGTACTCCTGTTGAGAAACTCCTGTTTTCTTTACCACTCATTCTCAGTTTCCTTTAGTACAGTGGTTCTTAAAGTGTGCTCCTCTACCAGCAGCACCAACATCATCTGCAAAGTTGTTAGAAGTGGAAATTATTCAAGCCCTATGTTTGACCTTTTAAATCAGAAACTCTGGAGGTGGACCTCAGAAACCTGTGTTTACAAATCCTCCATGTAACTCTGATGCATGCTAAAATTTAAAAGCCACTATTTTAGAGCACCCATTTTATCCTGTCTCCTGGGATTGTGCTCTCGTGTGTGTATGACTTGTATGAGTACTGGCTAGGAGCATTAGGTTATTTGTATATAACATCTATCAAGGCACTGCATTGTTGCTTTTCTTCTCTCTTTAGGTTTGTTGGTTTATGAATTTGTTCAGCAATAAAATAGAAATTCCTACCTTTGATGAAAGAGCCACTGAATATTAACTCAACTCTATTAAGTCTTATTAATTCTTTTGTCATTTTCTTTGAATGTATATCAAACATGTCTATCTTTCTATTTGAAAACAATGACTAATATTCCATTTTCTTCCCATGCTTAGAGGGACCATGTTATGGTTTGTGTCTGGATGTCCCCCCAAAGCCTCATGCAGTCATGTTGGGGTTCTAGAGTTTATGATTGATCCATGGTCCAATGCTGGGATTATGAGTATGAGTGCTACACCCACCCTGGGGCAGGTAGCTTGCATACAACCTAAGAGAGGGAAAAAGGCTTGCTTGCTACTCCTCCCTTTTTGCTCTTGCTGATTTTGCTGTGTTCTGCCGCCATGAGCTGTTGCCCTCTGCCATGTACCACTCTGCCTTAGAGTCAGCCAAGTATGGACTGAAAACTCCACAGACTGTGAGCTAAATAAGCCTTTCCTTCCCTAGTTCTGGGTGTCAGGTATTTTTATCTCAGCAACGAGAGAAAAGTAACCGAGACAGACCATAAGGTTGTTGTCGAGAAAAATTATACTTTATTTATTATACAAATATCGATTTGTCCTATGTGAATTCTTAACAATTTGTTTTCCTTACTTTACATTTGCAGATAAATTTGACTAGTTAAATAATATAAACCAATTTGTTTTGATTTCAGCATTTACTACTTTTATATTTTTATTCCTGTATATTTGGAGTAGATAATAATTACATTCATTATGGTGAGGTTCTACATGTTTTACTATTGTCTGCTATATTATAGGCATACTAATTTTAGTGGGGAAAGTATTAGCTTGGAGGATATATAAATTGAGAGAAGTCAAAAGTCAGAACAATATTTAAATACCCTACAACCATGGAATACTGATGATCTTCGTATTTTTAAGAACAATGATTTGCAATTTCAGGTTTTGTGCTAATGTTCAGGCTTATGTTGCAAATTGCTAAAGGATTTTCACCTTAAATTTGGACATTTCACATACAAAAATATACTTTATTTTTCTGCTTAAAAAACACTTTCAATAACTGAGAGCTGTACTGTACCCAACACAGTAGTATAAACAAGGAGAATTGTTTTGTTGGATTTATCCTACTTTTACTACTATAGTCATCCAAAGTATATATTTATCTGTGCTTTTTAGTTTAGCAAATTCAACTTGTTCAGAAAATACAAATTGTAAGCCAGGTGTGGTGGCACATGCCTGTGATTCCAGCACTTGGGAGGCTAAGACAGGAGGATTGTTACAAGTTCGAGACCAGCCTAAGCTAGAAAGTGAGCTCAAGGCTGGCCTGAACTGCATAGCAAGACCTTGTCTCAAAAAGACCAAAAGAAAAAAAGAGAGAGAGAGAAAGAGAGAGAGAGAGAGAAAGTATGAATTGTTTCTCAACAAGTTTTCTAATGTGTTTTCTTGACTTTAATACATGAAGAATTGACTGTGCTATATGAGGTGTGACATTTAAATGCTGAATTACAATCCACACATAGAAGTCTTACTACTTTAATGTCATATTTGAATTTTGTACTAACATTATGCTAGTATTGTACATTAAATGAAAATAGTAGCTTTTCAAATGAAGTGTAACTTTACCATCACGTAGTAATTATCCATGTTAATAGAAATGAGCCTTGGTGGGGATATGTATAAAATCCAAATCAAGGCAAATCACCTATATTTATTCAATCATAATATATATTTCTTTAAATGTTGTGTGCACATGTATTTCTACATATGAATTTATGTTTGTAATTTATTGTGTGCTCATATATTTCTACATATGAATTTATGTGTGTGTTTCCTGGATTTATTATCATAATCATGCTTTTATTCTAGGGTTATTTTTAAAGTTTGTAATTTGCTTTTCCTATGAGTATAGTAATACAAGTGATCAGTGAGATGGCAAAGCACCATTCCTTGTTTAGTAACAATTTGTTAACTTAATAGAAAAAACTTTTTTGAATAAACAAGCTCTTATTGTTATTGCAGGAAAAAGGTAAAGTTTAAAAACATGGTAGGTTTTTAAAATACTGATGTTGACAAATGAATGTATGTTAATCAACATCATTTTCACACATCTTGGCCTTATTGCTACATTTTTTGCAATTGAGAAAAACTAATCCTGTATTATTCTAAAGATGTATTTTTAAAATTTTCTATATTTCTAAAAACTAGAAAGTTTAGCATCATTAACAGGTAATCAAATGCCAACTGTAAAGTTTTACACTTACAAATAGTTTTTTTCACCACTTTCTTGGTGTATAATGAAGTTACATTTTCTACTTCTTTCCTGTCTTTGCAAGACCTATGCTTTTGTCTGGAAAGAAAATCCTTTCCTCTTCTTCCCTTCTCTAACATCTGTGTGTAGACCCGGGATACTAAATGAGGCTTCCTATATTTTTATGTAAAGGTCATCTTTTTGATCAAGGTTTTCTTCATTCTGCAAATTAGTCAGTCATGTACAGTATTTGGATGGTTTTATACACATGTAAAAGTTGTGGCAACTTCTATATGGTAAATAATTTCTTAAATTCAATAATTTTAATGTAGTGATATTAATAATCTTTATTTTCACATCATACATGATTTTTATATGTGATATATTTTGAAAAATTACACATTAGATAAATTATTCACTTGCCTAAAACCTTTACATGAAACCAGGCAATGTTACCAACTATTCCATTTTCAGTTTGAGAAATTGAGCATAACATTTGTTAGCTTCAAATAGTTCAGTAATACTTCCAGGAAAATAAATATAAAGTGAGATTAGCTGGAATTGTAGCTCAGTGGTACAGCACTGACCTAACAAGTGTGGGGCCCTAAATTCAATCCCCAGCACCACCCCCCAAAAAAACATAAAAAGAAGATTGTCAGTTCATATTGCATGTTCTGTCAATTCAGATAGTACTTTGCTCTATCCACTGTCCAAAACACGCTATGAAAGTCATTTCATTTGATGGATAAATTACCAGAATCGAAAAACATGGTGTCTAGTAAGTTCAGCACAATCATCTTTAAGGACTGATTTGAATACTCACAGAGCTGATCAAAAAATACAACATTTGTGTTTAGTGTGTCTTAAAAGAAAACATGCAACTCATTACATAAGGTATTTTATCACAATAAAAGTAAATATTGACTCTTCAACTCATATTTATGAAAGTTATAAAAAGAAAAACAAAATAAACTTAGTTTTATCTTCATATTGATGCAGATCTGCTAATGCTAAATTGGGCTTTTGCAGAAAAGCTCTAAAATATCTGTCTGTTATACACATTTCAGACAAGATGATCCTATTTGTTGTAGTTCTTTTCTTTAGTTGATTATTCTCTCATTCATATTTATTTTTATTTTTTTATTTTAAAGAGAATAGTAAAACTAAAAACAACAGTAGCAAAATACCAACATCACAGACAAAAACGAAACAAAGCAAAAACAGTAAAAATGATACAAGGTTTCAAAGCAAGATGATAGGAATTTACTGAAGAATTATGTAATTAAATTCTAAATATTTGCATTGTTCTGATAGTGCCCTACATAGGAAAAATATGAATGACATCTACACTATTCTTCCTAGCAGATAATCTAGTTTTTATTCATGATTTCTGAAAAGAGTATCTAACTGCAAAACTACGTCTGTAATAAACTTGCTTCTTAGATTTATTTGCTTAGACAGGTAAATACAGTATTTGAAGGCCAGTGTGGCCAGGCATGGTGGCACATGCCTGTAATACCAGCACTAGGGAGGCTGAGGCAAGAGGATCGTCGTGAGTCCCAGACAATGCTACAAAGTGAGCTCAAGGCCAGCCTGAACTGCATAGAGAGAACCTTCCTCAAAAAAAGACAAAAAAAGAAGGCCAATGTAATCACTATAATTGTACCCAAGTATGTTTCATTGCATTTATAGTGTTTACACATATTGTAAAATTTTATTTTCCTGACGCTCCTCCAAATATAAGAATTTAAATACTTATTATATTGTACATCTTACATAAATATTTTTAAAGCTCAAAACTCTTTAATGTACTCTTTAATACTCTTTTTTAGTATTATTTTTATTTTGGATGCAAATCTAGTAGTACCGTGTTTTTTTTATTTCTTTTGCTTCTCATCAAATTTCATTCTTTGGGCTTTTTTATTATTCATTATTTTAATCTTCCATATGTACTTTTTTTTTGGTACTGGGAATTGAACTCAGGACCTTGTTCTTGCCAAGCAGACACTTGTGCCTCTGAGCTATACCCTTGGCCCCAACATGTACTTTTAGGTAATATACAATTTTATTTTTTAAAAAACCTTCTTTGAAAGGTTTAAAAATCCTTC